TTTGGTAACGTGGACGTACATTGGACCTCTATGGGACGCACAAATGTCCCACTTGAGGACCAACTAGAGACGTCCTTGGTGGATGTCCCTGGGACAACTATCGAAAACCTGAATCCTACAGTATTTCTCATCGAGCACTACGGAGGACATCCTCAGGACATATGTAGAATAATCTATCAGTAACGCTGAGGGATATCAATTGGATGTCCATAGGATGACCCAGGGACGTACGTATTATTTTTTAATTTGAATTTTTCTGGGACCCTCTAGGACCAGATCCTGCATAACTGATGAGGACATCCAGTTGAGTTGATGGTCCATAGAAGGTCCCCAATAGATCCTGAAAAAGTTTCCCAAGGAGTTTTTATAGCCTACGAGCAATCATTCGTCGGCGTAAGTAAACGTCCTCGCAGGGACGTTCGTAGGACGTTATTTCTAGGACATTGGAAGAGTAAAGTTCATGTACCAATTGGGACATCCGACGGATATATCTCTAAGGGACATTTGAAGGATGCCCCTAACGGACATTTTGATTGTTATACGATCCTGGAAATATTAAGGTCGTCTGTGCAGAGATATTTGAAGGAATGAACCATCAGGGACATTTCATGGTTGTCTAGGAGGGACATTTTATAAGATCTGAAGTCATGCCAGAATATGTACTACTCGGGACATCTGGTGGATGTCCCCAAAGGAACGTTTGAAATCATATCCCATCAGGGACATGCCAAGGACGTCCTTGCATGGACATTCTACAATATGTACAACGTGGGACGTCTAAAGGATGCTATTTCTAGAAGATTTGAAATGATGTACCTGCTGGGACATTCCGTGGACGTCCTTGCTCGGACATTGCATGAGATGTACGGGATGGGACGTCCCAAGGACACTTATTTTTGGTCCGGGACATTCGGACTTGGATTGTACCAAATAGGGACGTCCCTAGGACGTTGTGTACTATTTGGGAATAGTGTACCATGAAATTTGCATCACTCTGTATACCACCAAATCACCTGATCACCCAATTTACGTATTTACAACACCCCTCCCACCCCTCTTTCTCCCCACGAGCCGCCGCCAATCGCTCCCGGAGGCGGTCCAACCGTCCCACAAGCGAGCCGGCGTCGGTTCTAGCCCCGCCTCCGAGCGCCGCGACGCCGGCCTGGCCCGGGCGCCGGCAGAGAAGCATCGCGACGCCGACGGCCGCACGTCCTTTCTGCGTGTTCGAGGCGGCAGCAGCGGCGGCACCGTGGAGAACCGCCGGGCGGGCCGAATGCTCGGCGAGTCGCGAGTCGCGGCGAACGTTCGCGGGTTCTTCGCCGCGCGGTTGGGCGGATCGCTGCAAGACACAGGTGAGTTGTGTTGTGTTCATGACTGTTTCAATCTTTGTCCCGACAAACGATCAGATAATCGACAATATCAACGGATTCTCCTGTTTACTGAGATTTATCAGACTCTGCTCTACCAATACATAAGCCGAGTTGACCCACACGTGACCAAACAACCTCGCTTTTTGTCCATACAATTTTCACGTTTATAAAGTCAATTATGTTGGAAGCCAGAATGATGGATGCGGTGTGCGCAACTCTCGCGAGGCGCTCGTTTATTGTCCCAATCATGAAAAATTCATACGAATATGTCGGGTAAAATAAAGCCTGTTCGTTTGTATTGCTGAACCTGCAAAAGTTGATTCTTTTCCCATTGTTGTCTCTGTTCATCAATCAATCAATCAATCAATCAAGTTCAGCAGATAGAGCAAGCACAAACGATCAGGCCTTGTACGTACATATTCAGAATCTCTGAACACATCATTCAGGACCGTATTCATGCAATAAGTTGATGATGGTTCTACGAATACGTATACGTTGCTTATAGACTAGCCATAAATGAAAGGTTCTGTGCAAAGTTTCTTTAATGAAATGCCCCGAAGGGTAGGAAAACGATCTAGTCCTTTGAGCCATCTAGTGGCAAAGATGCGAAGGTGTATAAGAAGCTTGCTTAAACTAGAATCACTGGATGGTATTAGTTAGAAAAGAGTTCGGACACAGCTGAACTTCTGTCCTTTTCAATTTTCCATATTAAAATGGTTTGAGCATTGTCGATCTAAATGAAAACCTAGTAGGCGACCTAGTGCGAGGAGGTATTATAGCTCCTGCCTACTAACTACCTAACTAGGTTGTCATTTAGAACGACAATGGTTTGAGTGAATGAAAGAATAATACATATATTCTACTCTTTGACTTTTCAATTTCCCTAGTAGCGCCTGATTGTCAGATAAGATTTTAGAGGTTTAATTTTCTGTCGAATCAATCATAGCCGTAGATGTAATCTAGAAATAGGGTATAAACACCCACTTCAATTTATTGCGATACTTTTTGCGCAGAACAACAGTTATAAGCATGAAAAGAATGCATGTAACAATATTTTGATACGACAAAATAAAAATATATGGATATACTTAAAGCTAGGGTTTCCTATTGTGTGTAGAACTGTACCCGAGTGATAAAGTTTGAAACATGAACAGTTTTTTGATTTTCCACCATTTGCTGAATTCCCTTCTCACTGATACATTTTGAATTTGGTCGGTATTGAACACGCCATTCAAGCATATATAACGTTGCAATTTACTTGATTTCCTCAGTTTCGTTCTCAAATTTTCAACAATACGTAGTTTTGCAATCGATTCCTCTTTCTCAATGATAATTTTCTCTGATGATAACATTGGATCGTCAGTTTGTGAATGGGCCTGAAATATAGTTTCATTCTAATCTGCTGTTATACGAAGTGAATTTTAATTTATGTACCTCAAAAATTTTTCTTGTCCTCAAATCAATTCTCCATCCAGGCCGTTCTATAAACATTCCTTCTATAATGGAATGGTTGATATTTCCTTTGGAAAATTGAATAAATGAAATCCATCCTTTTCAGAATTCAACAATTCATTACACAGCAGGACATTTTCATCATGCTTTTTTCTTAATATTTCATGAAATTATATTTCGATTCTGACATTCATGAAATTTATTGTAAAACAATTCAGAATGAGAAAGCGCGGAACGACTATGATGCTCTTGTCATAATGCAAGGTGTCTCATGATGAATCTAAACATTGTCATTTTTGTGTCCCAACTCTTATCTAACTAATGCCATCCAGTTACTCTAGTTTGAACTTGAGTCACTGGATGGAAAGTAGTTGGCCACGAAAAAAAAAATGAATTATTGAATTGAGCAAAATTTTATTGAATGAAACAAATGAAGTTAATATGTCTTGCACGAACTCTATATCTCATTCAATATCCATGTATTGTTCATGAAAAAATATTAAATTGGCTCAAACAATCATTTTCTTTCAATCAAAATAACAAGATATTGGTTCGATCAAATATTTAGTAGATTCAATGAGATTTTTGGTTGATTCAATTAAGTATTTGGTCGACTCAATGATATATTTGGTTGAATCAATGAGATATTTGTTTGATTTAATGAAATATTCTGTTGATCCAATGTATTATTTCGTAGATTCGAGAGAAACTGTATTTCCATTCGACGAATTGTTTTGTAGCACCAAATTCAGTATTGATTCGGGAATTTTCTGAAATTTCTCATCAATAGAATAAACTAAACTACGAAACTAGTCGACTTCTAGCATAGATCTCCAGTCTTTACTTCTCTTCAGCTGATGCAAGGGTGCAAGGTTATTTCGGTTTGCTGAGCATCCTAAGTTCGATTTATCCAGCTGATATTTCCATCAACACGGGGAATCAGGTTTCACGTTCATAATGAATTCGAGGCAGGCATAATTGAGGCCATCTAGTGGCGAAAATTCGACTTGATGTCGAATGAACGAAATATTTTACTGACATTACATACTTCGTTGCTCTATTCAAGCGAATGATCCGTTCGGAACGAGTTCATTGCAACATCGGAATAAGAAATTCAACATCAATACTATCTCGGATCTACATAATTTGATTTTGAGATAATCATATATTTTGTTAATGGGATTGATATTATACTGTTGAAAATATGTATGTATCTGTTTCATTTAACCAAAACTTGCTAAGTCCAACGAGAATAATTCGAGCATAAATAATTTGTTGATGTAACAAATCCTTTTTTCCTGAGGGGGAGGCAAACACTTGAGTCTCAGGTAATGATATATTGCTCAGTACTGAAATATCATGGTATTGGTATATGCTGTTCAGCATACTATCCCGATAAGTATTTCATACACCTTCCTATCTCTGCTAGTCTGGATATTCACGTAGAAGAAATTCAGTTTATATCAATGCAATATTTTTAATATGACAATAAATAATATACTCACAATTTTATGCTCATTCACAAGTCCACTTTTTCAATGACGAATGGAAGAACTGTGAAAAACACATCACTTGTCCATGATGATATCAATGAACTGTATCTGATAGGTCAATATCCATTGTGATTTCATGTTTTTGACATTGGAGAATTAGTGATCTTTGACAAATGGAGAATACTCATTGATTCCCCAATGTCGTCAAAATAATGTAATCTTGATTCACATAAATCTATAGAAAATAATGATTCTCCACTTCAATTGGAGTGCAATATAGTTGTTATATAATGAAAGTAGCAATGAATGAGTACTTTCATCAATAAGTGCCAGCAGTATGACATCGATCAAATCAATGAACCATCGAATCGCCGGTTATATCTCGTGTTTGATGGGATGGCATCATTCAGTATAAGTCATTGTTCTCTATTCTGCTATATGTGGTTCGCTACATGAATAATCTCACATAGTTCTTGCAATATGAAAAAATATTATGTTCACATTTACAATTGAATGTAAACGGGATGCGGGGGGTTAAGCGCAGTGCCTCCCCACCCGCCATAACGAGAAAGAAAAAACATTAACACCCACCCTTCTTCTGTTCAGGTTGACTCTGATGGCACTGCGCTACAACCCTCCTGCGCCCGTCAACTAACCACCACAACCACCAACCACCATCATCACCATGACCACCATACCAATAATCAACATGGACTTCACCGAGCTCAAAGAAGTCGTATGGGCCAAGCTGCAAGAGCCTCGCACCCAGAAGAAGCTCATCCTCGTCATCGTCTCCATAGCTCTGCTCCTCGACAACATGCTCTACATGGTCATAGTCCCCATCATCCCGGACTACCTGAGGTACATAGGCGCCTACGAAGACATCGCCCTTCCGGGAAACGCCACAGCCCCACCAGGCATGCCGCTGAAGCGCGACCACCATGGCCAGGACCAGGCTACCGGCATCCTATTCGCCTCCAAGGCCATCGTCCAGCTAATGGTCAACCCCTTCAGCGGGGCACTCATCGACCGCATCGGCTACGACATTCCCATGATGATCGGCCTGACGATCATGTTCCTGTCCACAGCGGTGTTCGCCTGCGGCCGCAGCTACGGCCTCCTGTTCTTCGCCAGAAGCCTCCAGGGCGTCGGCTCCGCGTTCGCAGACACCGCGGGCCTGGCGATGATAGCCGACCGCTTCACGGAGGAGAACGAGCGATCGCAGGCGCTGGGAATCGCGCTGGCGTTCATCAGCTTCGGGTGCCTGGTGGCGCCGCCCTTTGGAGGGGCTCTATACCAGTTCGCAGGCAAAGAGATGCCTTTCCTCATCCTGGCGTTCGTCTCGCTCATCGACGGCTTCATGCTGCTGCTGGTCATGAAGCCCATCAAGGAGCAGATCAAGCTCTCGCAGATGCCGAAGCCTCCTTCCGTGCCTATATGGAGGCTGTTCATGGACAAGTATATCGCGGTCTGCGCAGGGGCTTTGATGATGTCCAACGTCGCTCTAGCATTCCTCGAGCCTACGATCTCCTTGTGGATCGAAGACAATTTGACTACGGAGAACTGGAAGGTGGGGATCATATGGCTGCCGGCGTTCTTTCCGCACGTGTTGGGAGTCGTTATAACGGTCAAGATGGCGAAGAAGTATCCCCAGTACCAGTGGATCATGGCCGCGGGAGGTCTAACGCTGGAAGGACTGTGCTGCTTCATCATACCCTTTGCAAACTCCTACATCTTTCTTATGGTGCCCATTTGCGGTATATGCTTCGGTATAGCGCTCATAGATACGGCGTTGCTTCCTACGCTAGGGTACCTAGTGGACGTACGCTACGTGTCGGTTTATGGAAGCATTTACGCCATAGCAGACATTTCCTACTCGGTGGCTTACGCAGTAGGGCCTATTATCGCTGGTGGTGTGGTAGAAGCGATCGGTTTCACCGCTCTCAACGTCGGTATAGCTTTCATGAACATACTGTACGCGCCCGTTTTGATGTACCTCAGGCACATCTACGATTTCAAACCGTTCGAAAACGAGGCCAATATCCTTATGGCTGATCCGCCTAACAAGGAGTACCAGACTTACTCGCTGCAGGAGCAAAGGCCTGTGGCTACCGAGGTGCAGAACCATTTGGAGTACAAGCAGCAAGAGACCAACTTCGATTCCGGGTACCAGAACCAAGATTACCAGCGGGAAGGGTACCCACAGCAGAACTATTCGCACAACTATCAGCAGGGGGCTAATCAGCAACAGCAGGAGACGCAGTTTCAACAGCCTGCAGGGCGGGTTACAGGAAGACAGCTGCCTCAACAGCCGGAAGCTGTGAATCCATTTAGGCCACCAGTTCAATCGACGGGAGGGAATCCGTTCAGACAGGGGATTTAAGATAAGTGTGTATATTGTATATTTTGTTAGTCGAAATTCTTTCGTTTTGTGTATTATGTACATACATATAAACATATCATACCGGTTGTTCCTCTTCATTGTATATATCGGCTGATATAGTGTTTGAAAAAATGCATGTTTTAGAGAATTTTGAAACCTGTACATGCAGATGATCTATCTGTAATCGCATACATATCATGTTGCCTTCTTGTCGACTTTCAATAGATAATTTCGTATCAAGACCACTAGCTGTAACATCTTCTTTGAACTAGAAAAGGAGAGAGAGATTGCTGTAAAATTAGGTATATTGTTTTTCATGGAGTTGAAGTGTTACTTTTTGCGACGTGTTTGTATGATTGGCAGAGCGAAAGTAAAAGTTAATACAAGCATGCCATGAAAAGTAGATAGGTATCTTACTATTTCAACTCGATGATTCAATAAGAGTAGTCGATGAGAATGATAAAATATGAGATGCTGAATTATTTATAAAGGATCTGAAAGTACTGAAACGTACCAACATTGCATTTATGTTTAGTACGAGCATGAGTGATATATTGTGGAGTCTTATTTTATTTATAGATTGTTTCAAAGTTTTTATATTATAATATATCAACTGAGATCGCATACATATCAGAATCAATGATTCAACTGAGATCATATACATATCAGAATCGAATGATTCAATTGTTAATTTCGTGATAGGTCGTATAAATATGCGACCATATAGTTTTAAGGACATAATATATAATGTATCGAAAATGATTCTGGGTTCATGGAAGACGAATCCAAAATTCGTTCTTCTCGTTTCTACAATAAAAATATAAATATTATATCAGTAATAATATGTGTAGTAAGGACAAATCAGATGATCCGCTACAAAACGTCACTGCGTTCAACAATTTCCTCTTTAGAGAGCCTGGAAGAAACATTCAATAAATAGTCGGTGACACCTTGTTTTGAAAAATGTTTGAAGGAGAAATATATGAGTATAAGTTTGCTGAAACATTTGGTCCATTGCCAAAATCGAATGTCTATGTTTGTCACTTAGTCCTGTGGAATATTTGACAATGTAATTCCCATTATCTGGGGTGATTTGACTTGTGTACCGTTTACCAAATTTCATATTTTCGAATTTCAGAGTGAAAAATACATATATATCAATGAACTGCGAACTTCATTTACTTCTCATTTGTAGTCATCTTTGAATCTTGAAGAATTTTCGATAAAATATATATTCTTAACATGTATACTATACATATTTCTCGCAGTTCGTTTCTATACAAGATCGAATTATGGGTAGTACATATCTATACAATATGGGCCATTGATGAGAATACATTGCAATGGAGATTCGAAAAATATGTGAGTTGTCAATGAAAAATAATGGGGATTCGTGAAAGCTATACAGATAGATAAAAAAGAGGAGGATCTCTTACAGGTCATTTTATCCTCATCATCCTATATAGTTGTATAAATGACCCTGTATTCAATTATAGAGCCGAATTGTGAGACATATAAATTGTGTTAATTACGTATACTTAGATGAAATCGTCTTCGATAAGAAACCCATAAACGTGTTGCATGGTTGGATGATACATTTTTCTGCTGTAAATCATAAATGTTCAACAATGATCAGGATATTCTGAATATTTGAAATTTGATATTCACGTTATTGTGACGGCACACAATTAGGTTGACAATACAAGATAGAATCATGAGAAGAAAATTTGAGTGGTATTTTGGTAGACTATTTCACGGAGCATGAACATTCTACAATTATATTTCGTCTCCTTTGGTATGGTATGATTCACCCAAATATCTATATAATATCTGCTGTGGAATGCTAAAGATATCATACTCAATCCATGGATTTGAAAATACGTATGGAATCAATGTTATCGGATCTATGAAGATGATGCACAGAAAACAATTGAACGAGATTGGAAAAAATTCCATGACTAGTGTATCATAATCGATTTTTAATGATTTCAAATTATGGATAGTTGTGCAAATTATTTGGTCGAATTTCTATGAAAAATATTATCATTATTATAGGTTACTATTCTTTCGGAATGAAACTGAGTATGAGCGAAACTGGCATAGTAAAGTTCAATCCTTATATTTCCCTTTCCAAAGTTTTCTTTGCAATCGACAATTATTGAAATTCATATGAAAACTATGTATTATGGAGTGAGAATAATTATGCTTTATGTTCAATGGAACTTTTATCATTTTCTATATCAATACTCAGCATTTTAGTGTCTATTCATCGTACTAACCCTGTGGAAAGGTATATGGAGACTATTCTGATCATCCCATTATTATCTCTCAGGATTTATCTCTGGGTCAGCACAGCCCAAAAAACATTTACAAACCAGAGATAAACTGTTGGATAGATGAAATGGTGATCAGATGGGTCAAGCCAAACTGACTTCATTACTTCAAAATCATCAATTGGAAAGTTGTAATGTCTTTCTGATATATTCTTGGACTGATTGACCAGTTATGAAAAAAGTGCCTTGTATGTTTCTGTGGTAATACTATCAGGGGCTTTCCCTACCCTCCAAGGCCCTCGAGAGTAGGAAGGGCACCCCACAAAAGGTATACAACTAGGGTGTGTGAACTCAGTACAAAAACCAATTGGTGCTATTTGAAAGACATGACATCTTCTATTGATGAAAAAGTAGTATAACTTTGGAAAGTATTGGTAATTCCTTTCATTTTCGAAATACGTATAATATACAAGGTGTTATACGAAGATGGTTGATTTGAGGCAAAGTTGTGCATTTATTTGACTAACAATATGCCGTGTATAAAGTTCCCAAAATCCAAGAATGAATGGAGATATCCGGGAATACCTGAAATTTTGGAAACATGATTTTATGTTATTCTGGCTCTATTTATTATAGGATTCCAAAATGAACTGCACTTCTGCATTGCCATTTTTACTCTAGCACAGGATGATTTCTTCAGATTTGCTAACTGACGTTTCGTGTCCCGGCATCATCATCAACTTTATATTTTCCTATCGGCACCATATTGGATTTTTTTTTGGTTTGAATAGAACTCAATATATTTTTTTCGATGGTGTATCACAGTTTGCCATGCTTTCTGGAAAAATCGGAGATATTTTGAAAAAACATGGCGGAAATGGCTTTCACGAGTAGAGGAAGAAGAGATATGATGCAAATTTATTACAAATAAGTACAATAGAAACAGTGTTTTGACATCTGGATTGTATTGAACTCACAACTAGATATGAACCTCGAACAAACAAAAATAAAACAAAAATGTAAAAACTGTGTTTGGAGAAGATGGTTTCCACACAATATTGCTTGCGGGTTTAAAATATTGAGGAAAAGAGATAAATTTATCTTGCAATGATAAAAATTTGTGGAAGGCAGAGTTTTGTTTTCATGAACAAAGACAGCATTTTGAGCATATGATGTGATTAACTATCGCTTTCACATTTTAGTTTATTATTTTTGTTTGTTCGAGGTTAATTCTAGTTGTGAGTTCAATAACATATCAGATGTCAGAATACTGTTTTTATTGTATTTATCTGTAATGAATTTTCATCATATCTCTTTTTTCTCCAATTCTCCAAGCCATTTTCGCCAAAAATACGAAAACAACCGAAAGTCATTAAGTGTGGCAGATTGAAAGTGAAACATCAAACCCAGAGCCTTATATGATAGTTTTTTTTTTAAATGTCTTCGATTTTTTCCAGAAAGAATGACATCGTATGATACACCATTGAAAAAAGAATAACGAGCAATATTCAGAACAGGAGATATCCAATATGGCGCCCATTGGAAAAAAATAAGCAAATCTGAAAGCGCCATCATGTATTGGGGAAAAATGGCAATGCAGAAGTGCTGTTCATTGCGAAATCCTACAATAAGTAGAGACAGAGAAAAATAAAGTCAATTTTCCAAAGTTTCGGCTTTTTTCGGATATCTCCGGATATACTTGGAATTTCAGAACTCGACGACATATTGTTAGTTAGGTGAATCCGAAAATTTTCCTTGATTCAACCATCCTTAAATCTCTTAAAGTTTTCGGGATCCCACTGGTGAGGATCGAATTTGAACACCCGGTATAAGTACTTAACAACACATTTCATTTATCACATAATCAACTTAAGAACTTTCGAGAAGACAAATTCTTTTGTTGAAAATATGTTATGGTAGGTGATTTTCATTTTATGTTTGAAATAACAATAAGGCAATAATAATTATTCTCATACATGATGTTATTCAAACTGTCACATCTGACTTATGAGTCTTATAACTGATATTTCTTCTCAGTTTAACAAAAGCTCTCAGATATTACTAAATTATCAATTGAGATTGCAAATAAATGTAAGAGACGTGAAATATAGGGAAGTGAACTTTTTTATGGTATTCTGTAGAAAATGATGCCTTCGAATGGTTGTTTTGAGTACCTATATGCTAAAATGGTACTACATACTGTGTGTGTTGGCGAAACGAAAATAACTGCAAAGCATTGAGTTTGTGATGGAAATTGTTCCCGAGGCACTGGAATTTGCCTTCCAGTTTGATTTAATATAACTTGTTCTTCTCAAAGGAAAAGTTCTATTTCGAAACTAGGTATATTTTATCATAAAAACGAGGAATTTTTTCCATATATACTAGAGGATAACACTCAGTATATGTCATCATAGTCGACTGTCATCTTGGCACTGTGACTGGCGATGTCAGGGTATTGATCAGTCAGTCATTATTATATTTGAAATTAAACCATTCTAATTAATATTGAACTGGATATCATTACATGGTGTCAGAATAAGTTTGATTAGCAATCAATAGTCGAAAATGCCAACAACGGATGAATTGCAAAATTTTATTGAAGCCCTGAGAAGACAAATCGGGACTCAATCAGGACCTTCGTCCCCAATAGTATCAGCACATATAATGTCAATTCCATCATATGTACTTATGTACAGCCGCCAAAAGCACTGAAAATTGAGAATGTCC